AGTCTACCTTGTATGGCCTCGGGCTTCAACTCTGCTTTTTGTGCTATGAGTTTCCCACACTTTGTTCTTTGTATTATTTATTGTATAAGGCTAATGGAAACTATTTACTTACTGGTGGTTAGAATAAGACACCATTTTTTAAAATAACTAGCAAAAATCCACAAATACCACATGGAACATATAAACAATAGAACAGGAAACATATGAATTCTATTCTGAGAGGACTTTTATCACAATTAAACCGAAAGTCCCTGCACTGTACGGCAGCATTGACAGTCCCTGCACTGTAGGGCAGCATTGATAGTCCCTGCACTGTAGGGCAGCATTGACAGTCCCTGCACTGTAGGGCAGCATTGTCAGTCCCTGCACTGTACGGAAGTATTGGCAGTCCATGCACTGTATTACTGTATTGCAGCATTGACAGTCCCTGCACTGTATGGAAGCATTGACCGTCCCTGCACTGTACGGCAGCACTGACACTCCCTGCAATGTACGGCAGCACTGACACTCCCTGCAATGTACGGCAGCACTGACACTCCCTGCAATGTACGGCAGCACTGACAGTCTAGGCTAAGTCATCGCACTGCTCACCTGTCTGCATGGGTCTCATGTCTACAAGATTTTTTTCCCAGAATGTTTTTATTAAGATTTGAACAGGAATCTGTCTGCACTGCATTTGTGTATTTGTCTAAGCACTATTTTATTGGCTTTGAAATATATAATATACAAATAAAAGTCACCCCAGTACCCCAAGCTGTAGCGCTGCTTGTCATCTCTCCTGCTTCATCCTTCTCACCCACAAGCATCATATTATACCAGTTGTCAAAATTATTAGTCAACAAGCAGTTACAAAGAAAGGAGTATAGGAACATATCAGTGCGGATTTACAAGGCTGCCAGATTTGTAAAATGTACCTCTTGAGATCCCTTAGGTAATTAGAGACAAAAATGTGAAAATCATCTTGGCAAAATATATTTAGTACAAAATAATATTAATATGTGAAATATAAACTCAATGGTGGTTACTGTGTTGTCTACAAGGCCGAACAAGAGTGCTAAAGCAGCCCTAGCGAGAGAACGTCAGTAAGATCCAGTTTAGTTCTGTGACCTGTCTCCAAAACCAATGAGTTTAAAATCCAACATCAGCCTTTTTTTTGAAGTTGTAGATAAAGAGGGGAAGGGTTAGAAATTGTTATTGCCTGAAGCCCATACTAAAGTAGATATAAAGCCAAAGAGTAGGAGAGGGTTAAAACCTGTCATTTATTTTTCTGTCATCTGTGTCTCCACTGGGGAAGGGATGCACAGCCAATACCCAAGGGCCACAAGTTGGGCACCAGGGCCCTACTTTATCCTAAACAAAGAAAAAAAATACACTTACTCTTCAACCCTAATACAAATGTCTTTAAATCTAGCTTAATTAAAAGAGAACTATGGCCAAACCTTTTTTTGGCTATAGCTCTCTTTTGGATCACAGGGGGACATTCACTAATGTCCCCCTATGACCCAAAGTCAACATATAATAGCCTATAACAGGCTATTGCCCTCTATATGCTGACAGTGCAGAATTGCATTACAGCTGGGCCAGAGCCCAACAATATTGTCAGGATTGCCTGATTGACAGTCTCTAGAGGCAGAGCCAGCTGTGTTCGCCCATTCCCCCATCTTTCCCTCCAGTCAGCGCTGGAGGAACTGAAAAAGTAGGTGAGAATCCCTGCGGGGAGCGGTGACTGACCGTCACCACTCTCTGCAGGGGGAAGATCATGCACTGAGCAATTGGCAGTATGTGGTTGCTCAGATCTCAATCAATAGAGCTGACACGTCGGCTCTAACTATGGGGATGAGTGTATTTCACTCTCTTATATAACATCCCCTTTAAACTTTTTGAAAAACCATAAACTTCAGTCTTTCTATAAGCTTTTAACAAAGTAAGCTTTGTGATTTATGACTCATTAGTCATACATGGTTTATATCAGTCTGTAGCAGAAGTTCAGAGGGAAATAAATCTACACTGTTGTTAAGACAGATAAGCAAGTGCTTCTTACTACACAATAGGGATCTGTGACTAGATGATGCTGAGGTCTGACCTCCGTCCTTCGATACTGGAAACCTCACAGTTTAGTTTTCCTAATCAGTCCTTCTAATGGGGCCCCCCTCCTACCCAAGGACCCGTAGCAGCCTCGTGGGCTGCTATGCCTATTTTTTTGCCACTGCTTCGCCAAAGCCATTTCCCTTATTGCTCAGGGTCTTCAGCATCAGGAGGCAGTTATAACATCAGGTATTAAAATGAGAATCATGCCTCACACTGTTGATAAATGATGCTTACTGTGATAAATCCTTGTGTTGTTTTATGTCAAAAATAGTCTTTATGGTTGCTTAACACAGTGCTCTAAAACTGTGTGGAGAAATACTTGTGCTGACCAACACAGAAAGTAAAGCTAAAATTGGCCATTTACTGTTAGAATTTTGTTCTTACGAAATCATTCGTCAGAGCATTCACTCCTACCATCATTGAGTCAACTCATTTTGTTTGAAAGCCCTAAACATTTCTGTCTAGACCAGCTATTTGAATAGAGTCCCAGATGTTTTAAGCAGGTTTCTTTTGTGCCTAGCTCATGCACATTACAACATGTACAACGTTTCCCGAACTAAAGTAATTCGCGGTTTTCAGATAAAAAATTAGACAAATTCTCCATCCTGCTCCTTCATTTTCCATGTTACTATGGTTGAAAACAAACATCAGTTAGACCCCATTAATCATTAGAAAAATGAAACAAACGTCTAGAAAATGAACATTTGCAAACAAAATTCTGCTGGTGTATGGCTGGCTTAACAAGTGCACATTAGAGGATTCAGCACTCGTATTATGTATTTACAACATTGTAGCTTAGCTTATATTCAGGCTGCAGTATTAATGTTAGATTTTTCTGAATAATGCTTGGTAGATCCGCTTTTGGTCTAGTATAGTAATCCATCTAGCTTATGCTTTTCAGCAATGTGCAAAGGATGATACATTTTAATAAAGTGCATAAGAAAGATAAGCTGCATATGTTCTGTGACTGGAAATTACATAACTATTCCATGACAGGCAGAGGAAGTTTCTGAAATGACATGTCATGAATCGTTCCCCTCTTAGTCTGGATGGTGTCACAATTGCTTGCTTTAACATCAATATTTAAGTTATACTATACAGGATGTTGGGGTGGACATATAGGAACTCAGCTTTGTTGTGATCTTCCTAGAACAGTTTTCATTGTCCGCAGCCTGCACTTTATCTGAAGTCAGCCAGATACATGTAGAACAAAAAGCAGAAAAAGTACCTTTTCATTGGAAGGTTCTTCATATTCAGGGATAAAATGTCTTGGTTCCCTCCCTCCGCCTCTCTGCCAACTGCACCCGGCCGGCCTGCATCCGATGCGGCTCTGCGATTGGCGGTCGCTCGGTCCTCAAGGGGGTCCTCAGAAGGCCCCAGCCGGCTGCCTACTACAGCGCCTTATTAGAGGACTGTGTCTGCCTGATCCAGCCAGCCCGGTTGCATACAGAGGCGATCCGGGCTGGCTGGACCAGGTAGAGGAGGCCCTCTAATCAGGCATGTTAGAGGGCCCCCTGCTGGGGCCTCCCGAACAACCCCTTGCGGCCGCGCCGATCACAAAGCCGCATCAGATGTGGCGGGCCGGCCATGTGCAGGTGGCAGCGGAGTTCGAGGGGCCGTTCGTGATGGCATAGCAGAGGCCCGGGGGGCAATTGCCACCCTGCCCCCCGGCCCAGTTCGCCCCTGGCAAACACACTGTAATGTATGAAGATTCTTAATGCAAATATGTATCCCCTGCAACATTTTCAACATATTCATATCAGTTGTCTTTTTTAAATGGTTGGTTGATACAAAACTAACACTTCGGTCGCACGTCTTTTGTCTTCCGTGCTTGCTATAAAACCTTAAGCTGGTTAGTGGCGTACTCGGAAGACAAATGCCGAATGCAAGCGCACACTGCACGCTCAGCATTGGAATCATCGGAAGATCGCAAGTACGATCTGCAGATCGTACGAGATTTTATTTAGCTTACAACCATCGCACAACGAAAGTCGTGCATGGTTGTAAGGTGTATGGCCAGCTTAAGGTGAGCAGCACTCCTGTGGGTGATTGGTGATCGGGAACTGCTGGAGTTAACAGGAACTTCTCACATTAAAGCTGTATGCACCGTTGAGCGTCTCATTTTGGGACACTTAAATATCACGTTTTGTTGCACGTATATATGAACTGCACTTTATCGAATAAGATATTTAGCATTTATGTGGATATACTGTATATACTCGAGTATAAGCCGTCCCGAATATAAGCCGAGGTACCTAATTTTACCACAAAAAACTGGGAAAAAGTATTGACTCGAATATAAGCCGAGGGGAAACGAGGCACCTACTGGTAGATGGATACCAATAAAATTACATGAATATTTATTTAAAAGAAAAATAACCTAGCTCTGCAAGTGGAAAAGGGGGTAGCAGAGGATAATTAGGTAAGTAAGAAGACACCTGACACTGACTCGAGTATAAGCCGAGAGGGGGAACTTTTCAGCCAAAAAAATGGGCTGAAAATCTCAGCTTATACTCGAGTATATACGGTATGTGAATTATAATTTGATCACATTTTTCTGCATGTGACAAATATGAACCAGAATTTATTTTTTGATACATGGCATAGATAGTTATAGCGTGGCACATTGTTAATATATTTTTTAGTTATTCTGTCTTTTGCTTGGATTAGTGCTCGCTGCTTAGGTCACTTGTTTATGGCGGGAAGTATTTTATAGTTTTTTACAAACCCACCAGATTATTCTTCCTGCCAGTTTTTCCCCCAAAAAAACGTTTAATACAATATAAGCATATGAAAATGTAAGCCATAAATGTATTTACTCCTTGGCATCTGAAAATTACTGAATATTATGGCACACACATCCTTTATCTTGAGCTGTATGTTTAAATTTCCAATTTTGTTTCCTTTTATAGAGCCAGAAATTACGGGAAGTGTTTAACATGGACTTTCCTGAAAACAACTTCTTGGCCAAAACTTTGTGCGTTGTCGCTGGGCCGGATATGGTGGATCTTACCTTTCACAACTTTGTGTCCTACAAGGAGAATGTGGGCAAGGTACTGTACACCAAATGTAAAATAAAACTATAGAGGTAATAGATGATAATGTGTTAAAACGTTCATTAGAAAACAATAGTGGTTGCCATTGCTGGTCTCCTTCTAAAAATGCTAGTTTCTTGACTGTCATGTTGACCCTCTGTCTTCGATACATTGAGTGAAAGACCCAGAACAAGTATGCAGATCAAGAATTCTAACTTCACTTACTGCATGCTTCTTCCAGGGACAGTAAGGAGAAAAAGCTGACAGTCTGTGAGTCTGCAGTGTGGAGAACGGGATGGGCACAGTTATCTGAGGGGATGGTGCTACTATTTCTCTGTCCCTCCCCTCAGGCGGCCGCTTGTGCTGCCTTGCATTAGCACCGGCACTGCCGATGTCCACACAACAGCTCAAAGTTAGTGTCCCAGCAGTCCCAAACACAGAATCCACAGGCACAGAACTATATGACCCAGCAGTTCAAATCTCCTTCTTGTCTCCTTCCTCTCAGATCCTCCAG